AAAGTTATGGAGGACACAGCGGCATCTATCATGGCAGTGTCATCTCAGAACCACATCTGTCTAAATGATCACCTTAGAGCTCTTGACAGCAACCCGGTCACTCCACCCCCACTGAACGAGTTTCCTAACTACTCCTGGCTCATCCCTGATCCACCTTTGCCCCCGATAGAGCCGAAGGAAAAGGAAGAGAATCGCATGACAACGATAGCTAATGCGACATATATGTCTCCGTGTGCTGGAGACACAAGACCGGAACCTGCAAACCCTGCAAAACTGAAATCAATCATCATCAGCCCAATTTCTGAGAATGAGGTATCATCGCAGTGTCCTAATGACCAAAGGGCCTCCTTTGAGGATAGTGACACGCTAAGAGACATTCAAAAGAAATCCAAGAAAAGGACAAAACAAAGCTCCAAGAAAAAATCCCCACGTCATAGTCCTAATATTCTCAGAGGCTCAAGTTCAAAAAGTCGTAAAATCTCTCTAATCCAGAACTCTTCAGGAAAAAGAACAGGCACCTTGGGTAGCGACTTAGCGGAAGGACAACAAAGTGAGACCATTGCAAAAGGGGCGGGAACTTCGTCTAGAGGAGACGTGAACCCACCAATCAAATTAATCCCAGCAATGACCAAGAAGAGGACGGATTTTCGGTCTCTTCTTCACCAGGCTCCTTAGCCATCCTCAGCTGGAACTGTTGTGGTTTGGGAAATCCCATAACAGTCCAGCGACTAAAGGAGATCTATAGAAGGGCTTCCCCGGATATTGTCTTCTTGATGGAAACTAAAAATCCCGATGATATGGTGACAAAGGAACTAGACTGGCTATACAAAGAAAACCATTTCCTAGTCTCACCACACAGCCCTGGAGGAGGTGGGTTATTTCTTAGCTGGAGAGATGACATTGACCTCAAGATTCTATCTTCCTCGCAGAACTACATTGACACAGAAATCACAACTAAAGGGATCACGTTCCACTCCACTTTCGTCTACGGGGAACCAGATCAAACAAAACGCAATGCAACCTGGGATGGTATCTCTAACCTGCAGCCTAGCTCAGGAGGTCCGTGGTTCTTAACTGGGGATTTTAATGAGCTTCTAAACAATAGTGAGAAGAGTGGAGGACCTGAAAGGGCAGAGGGTTCTTTTGTGGCATTTAGAGCTTTCCTATCAAGCAATGACCTCTTTGACCTAAAGCACACAGGAAATTTCCTATCTTGGAGGGGAAAAAGAGGTTCCCACTTAGTACGATGCAGACTGGATAGATCCTTAAGCAACCCTCAGTGGACTGATCTGTTCCCTTCTTGTCGATGCCGTTACCTCAAATTTGAAGGCTCTGATCACAGACCTATTGTGTCCTACCTGGATACAACCAAAAGCAAAGGCCAGCATCTGTTCAGATACGACAGAAGACTTAAGGATAATACAGAAATAAAAGCACTTGTTGCAGAAATTTGGAACAACTCATCTTTTAGAAGTGTGGAAGCAAGACTCTCTCTCTGTCGCAAGGCTATCTGCAAATGGTGCAAAATGCATCAGGAAAATAGTAAAAAGACTCTTAATGATGTAAAAGAAGAGCTGGATGCAGTGATGTCGGACTCGAATCCAGAAGAGGGAAAAATTCAGGAGATTAATGCTAGACTACTTGCTGCCTACAATGCAGAGGAAGCTTACTGGAAGCAACGAAGCCGCAACCTCTGGCTAACTCTGGGAGATTCAAATTCGGGTTACTTTCACGCTGTGACAAAAAACAGAAAGGCAAGAAACAGACTCTCTGTCTTGGAGGATAAAGATGGGTTACCTGTGTATGAGGAAGACCAAATCTCGCAACTGATTTGTTCATACTACGATACACTCTTCACGGCTAACCAAAGGAGTAACAATAGCTTAGCCCTCGAAGTCCTGAACTGCTGTGTTTCGCAAACTGCAAATGAAGAACTTATCAAAGACCCAACGGCTCTGGAAATCAAGGAGGCCCTGTTTGCAATACATGCTGACAAAGCCCCAGGCCCTGATGGCTTTTCGGCAAGCTTCTTTCATTCAAACTGGAGCACTATCGGTGCATCGGTGGTGGCAGAGATACAGAGCTTCTTCTCAACCGGAATCCTACCTGCTTCCTTGAATGAGACACACATTAGACTGATCCCAAAAATTCATGGTGCAAAAAAGGTGGAGGATTACCGTCCGATAGCGTTATGTAATGTCTTCTATAAGATCATCTCCAAGCTTCTCTCCCTGCGATTAAAACCGGTGTTAGCATCAATCATCTCCGAGAACCAATCTGCCTTTATCCCTGGCAGGGCAATCTCAGACAATGTACTGATAACACACGAAGTTCTCTACTATCTTAAGACATCCCAAGCTCAAAAAAAGTGTTTCATGGCAGTTAAAATGGATATGTCTAAAGCCTATGATCGAGTGGAGTGGGATTTTGTTTCACAAGTCCTAAAGCATCTAGGGTTCCATGAAAGATGGATCAACTGGGTAATGCAATGTATTACTTCAGTCTCCTACAAATTTCTGATCAACGACAATATCTATGGAGCAGTAAAACCTCACCGTGGGATTAGACAGGGAGACCCTATCTCCTCTTACATCTTTATACTCTGCGGGGAGGTTTTTTCGCGGCTGTGTAAAAAAGAAGAGAGCGAAGGAGCACTCCAAGGAATCCGTGTTGCCAGGGGCAGTCCTAGGGTGAGCCACTTGCTGTTTGCAGACGACACAATGATATTCTGTAACTCCACACCAGAAAACTGCTACTCCCTCATGAAAATCCTGCATTTATATGAAGAAGCCTCAGGACAAAAGGTTAACATTGCAAAATCATCAGTCACCTTCTCCAAGAAGACCTCACAAGAATCCAGAGAAGTAGTCAAGAATATTCTTGGTATTACGAAGGAGGGAGGAGAAGGAAAATATTTGGGCTTGCCAGAACATTTTGGGAGGAAAAAAAGGGACCTTTTTACCTCCATTGTCGACCGTATTAGGCAACGTGCCTCCAGCTGGACATCTCGCTTCCTCTCAAAGGCAGGGAAACTCACAATGCTAAAAGCCGTCCTAACAGCTATACCAACATACACCATGTCTTGCTTCCAGCTCCCTGGTAGTCTCTGCAAAAGAATTCAATCAGCATTGACTAGGTTCTGGTGGGACTCCTCTTCAGATAAGAAAAAGATGTGTTGGGTTTCCTGGTCAAAACTTACACAGCCAAAATCAGCGGGTGGTTTAGGACTACGTGACATCCAGATGTTCAATCAAGCACTATTAGCAAAAATTGCTTGGCGGGTTATAAACGTTCCTGGTTGCCTACTTGCTAGAGTATTAAAAGGAAAATACTGCCATAAAAAGAGTTTCCTAGATGTGCCTTTACCTGCAGCGTGTTCCCATGGCTGGCACAGTATCCTCCATGGCAGGGACCTCCTCACTGAGCACCTAGGTAAGGCAATAGGAAACGGTCAGACAACCAAAGTATGGAAAGACTCTTGGATAGGTTTGGACAAGAACATCAAACCTTATGGTCCTGTCCATGAATCGGCGATGGATCTCAGGGTCTCAGATTTGCTTACAGACGACTTACAGTGGAATAAAAGGAGGATTGATGAGATTTTACCACACTTTAGCGAGCAAATTCAATGCATCAAACCAAGCATGTTAGGAGTGGAGGATTCCTACGTCTGGCAACCCACAAGCTCGGGGATCTACACGACAAAGTCAGGATATAATGCACTAGCTAATCCCAGCAACGAAACACAATCTCAACAACAAAGCCAAAACCTGCAATCGAGTGGGGACTTTGACTGGATAAAGGACGTCTGGTCGGGGAAATTCTCCCCAAAAATGAGGATGTTTTTATGGTCAAGCATACAAGGTGCCTTACCGCTTGGTGAGAATCTACAGAAACGTGGGATCCTAGCTGAATCCCTTTGTCCACCATGCAAGAAATCAGAAACGGTAACACACGCTTTCTTCACCTGCCCCTTTGCCATCGAAGTCTGGAAGCTTATCCCCCTACAACAACCAGTTCACATAGCTGAGGATTTAGATTTCAGAAAGGCATTAATAAGCTTCAGGAAGAGCATTTGCTTACCACCGTCAGGGATAAAACATAACATTCTTCCCTGGATTTGCTGGTCGATTTGGATAGCTAGGAACAGGCTTATTTTCGAGAAAAAATCGATCACACCTACAGAAGTAGCAACGAAAGGGTTAGTTGCAGCTCGAGAATGGGATCAAGCTCAATCTCTCTTACCAATTCCTCAGGAGACAATTAAGGTGGGAAGGGGTGGCACTCAGGCAAGATCACAACATCCCGGGACCACTTATTGCAGTACTGACGCCGCCTGGGATACTAAATCAAACACTGCCGGTGTCGCCTGGATCTTTACAGGAACTCAGCCAAACTACCCTATGTCCGGCTCTGGAAGGTTCGACTTCGTCTCATCCCCACTGGTAGCAGAGGCGCTGGCCCTCCGCTTAGGAATCACCACTGCAGCAAATCAAGGAATCGACAACATCGTTTTCCTCTCTGACTGCTCAACGCTCATCAGAGCAATCAATTGCAAGCAACAGATCACAGAAATCTTCGGTATCCTCAGAGACATCGATCATCTCTCATCTAGCTTCGCGTCTATCCTTTTCTCTCACATCTCCCGTTCCTCGAACAGAGATGCAGATTTCCTTGCTAAACGGGCTCTTAGGGCTCCTGCAGCTTCTCCCTTTGTTTTCTTATCTTTGTTGGGCTAGGCCCCCATAAGGCCCAGACTCTTTGTTTCCCTAAGTTCTATATTAATCCAGTTGTTGTTAAAAAAAAAAAAAAAAAAAAATCAACTTTCTATGTTTTCAGTCTAAAATAAGGAATTAGTGAGACAAAAGTAAACGAATTGCGTACACATAATGCATGTCATGAAGGTGGCCATGATCTTGACTACCTCACATGATCTCAACCACATATAAATATATCTATTTATAAAAAAAAAGAAGAATTATGATGTTAAGTCATGTATACTTTTATTCAAAATGCGGTTCCACAACATTATAATAACTTTTCATATTTATATATCACCCCCCTTTGAAACCAGTTTGAAAAAAAGTGGGGTCATTTACCTTAGTTGCATTTCTCAATATTCTATAGGTAGAACTTATAATAATCTCACCATTTCTTCACAGCAGCCTCTTGAGATTCTTCTCAACCTCTTTATTAGAGAATCATGAAATCTTGAGGAGATAACTTCTTTAAGATCTTTCAAGAATAAGTAACTGCTGGAGTTGATCAGTATTGTCATGGGATGTTGTAAAAGCTTGTGGTGGAGTCGAAATACAAACCATTCCCACCAAAAGGACGATGAAGATGGGCATGAGGAGACACTTGTTGTGACTTAGAGAGATCTTGAAACTGCGAGGTTGGTTTCAGACTTGAATCTCTATGTGAGGTCTCTTCTCTTTGGTTAATAACCATCAAATCCTTTCCCATTAGCCGCAACACTGGACCGGAGTTTGAAGGAAGCGCGGGAACAGACTTACTTAAAAGATCTTTATGGATCATGTGTGGTGGTGGTGGTTGCCTAAATGTTGTATCTTCAACACCATTCTCCTCTCTCTGGCAACAACATGACTGATCATTGTCTCTGAATCCAGAAGGTCTCTTGTCAGTGGTGATGATGTTATGAAGACTAAATGTAAGCGTTTCAGGAGCTGCAAAGTTTGAAACTGCTGAAACAGGTGATTCAGACAAGTTCCTGTCAGTGAGATCAAGCTGATCATAAGAAGTTTGGACTTGGTTTGTTATAACCGAAAAGTTTCCATGATTTTCAGTGGCAGTTGCATCAGTTTCCATATCCCAAGGACTCTCTAGAAATGATCCAGGAGGTCCTGGAATAGGAATGGGATCAACCTCCATGAATGAGCTTCCTCGTTCTTCAGTTTCACAACCACTTTTCTCTAAAACCATGCTTTCAAACTCAGCATCCACGTCATCTGTTTTGTCCAACATATAATCATATCCTTTGTTATTACCAGTCTCTTCCAAGCTTTCATAATCATTGTCTTCACCACTAGTTGAAGGACTTGAGCTTAGAAAGACCTTATCTGTTTCTTCATCCTCATCCAAGTCATCATAATCTGCCAGTTCACGTTCTTGAGTCATCTCAGACTCCCATCTCCCTGAATCTTCATCTTCATTCTCCGAGACATCAAACCTCCATGCTTTCTTTAACTTTATAACTCCCTTCTCCACAGGTTTAGGGCATCTCAAGGGATTTGCTACAAATGATGCACTTTTGGTGTTCTTTCCAGAGACTTGGCTATCCCCACAGCTTCTCCATGAGCTTTGACTGTTAACTGCTGTGGATAAATCAGTACTCACATGACTTGGACCTCTTAACACAAGAGTATCTTCTGACAATGAATGTCCATTCTCAGATGGCAGATCACACATGCTCCTCCCTTTCTTACTTTCATTCCTTGAAAGACTATGTTTTCTTAGCATCCTATGCTGACTTGGACCTGGAGTTTCTGACCTCTTCATGACTCTACATTCTTCAGAATACACTCTTCTAGACTCCTGCATCTGTTACACAAGTGACTTTCTTAAACAATCTAATATTATTTCAAGAATCAAGAACGCATGCATAAATTACTATTAAGTTACCTCTGAAGCATTGCCTTCAAGTCTTTTCTTACAGCTTTTGAAACTCCTTTTACCTTCACTAAAAGTTTGCTTCTCACTGACCTTTTCATGCTCTCTTGATGGACCAGAAGCTTTCTCCTTAACCTCTGATATAATCCGCAGCTTTTGGCCCTTAGCATCAATGTAAACAGGTCCAACACCAGCAGCATCTTCATCAAGGCTCTTCCCGCTGTTGGAAACTTCAGACTTCTTATTATTATCAGAGACAACCTGGTTAGAGTAGCTGGAGATCACAGCCCACTTTGTTCCATTTCTTTTATCAAGTTCTTCTAATGTGCATCCTTTTGCAGAAGCGTAGATATCAACCATCGTTTTAACTTTCAACCGTGGCTTGTTCTTCCTAGACTTGTTTGGCTTACTAACTGGCTTCTCTCCCGAGTCAACAGATAGACACTGATCGATATGTGCATTCAAAGTGGTGTTAGAAGCAGATGAGAAGGTTTTGCAGATGGGACAAGTTCTCAAAGCTTGATCTTCTTTTGATGCACTATCCACACAAGCTCCAGGTTTCACTACTAACCCACATTTCTTTCTAAGAGTCTTGTTGAGCATAGTGACTTGTGTTTTGGATTTTGAACCATTCTCAAAGCCTTGTTTAGTCTCTGCTGATGCATGATCATTGGAGGCAAGTCTTTTTAACTTTCTCTTGCAGCTTATGGCTTCAACATGAGCTATGGTTAGCTTCTTTGATGATGAAGCTTCAAGAGGATTGCTTATCACGAGGCCAAGAGGCTGAATCGGTGGCAATGGATCACTTAAGCCATGTTTTAAACAAAGTTGCAAAGTTGTTGAGGAGAAAGGCCAGCTTTTCTGAATGTTTTTGGTCCTGTTACTAAATGCATAGTCTCTGCAAAACCATCATGAAAACCAAAAGTCTCAATTAGTGAGTATATATATAACAACCAGACAAAACAAAGGTACAGACTTTGTAAAGAAAAGCTTCTGAGAGACAAGACATAACAAAGATGAGATAAGTTCACATGGTATGGACCAATGGATCAAAGAAAAGTAAAAGAAATAGTCAACACTCAATAATACCATTTAAGCTCCACAAAGACCCAGAAGGTGAATAACAAAAAGTTTTTTTTTTCTTTCTTTGTATTGAATCTGACCCATTAAGAAAATTAAATGGATGGGATGAAAATATCTTATCTAGTATGATCAGACTCATCAAGAAAACTTGACTTTGCATAAAACAATGGTGAAGAAGGAAACTGTTGACTTCATAAAACATATTGGAAAAAAAAGGGGGAAAACTTATAAGATTACCTGATGGAGAAAGAGGAAAGATGTGATTGACCTAACTCATCACTAGACTTGGTCAGATGCAAGAAATGGGAAGAAGATGATGGATCATTTGGAGAGCCTTCATCAGTAGATAATGATGGATAAGAAGAACATTTGATTCTTCCATTGTTACTATTCACCTCCCTGCTATTTCTCATACCAGATCTCTTGTAATGTCAATTTTGTGAGAGCCTGAGAATCCTGCAGGAGTTACAAGGAATGTTTTTCTTTCATATTCTTTGAGCTTGAAGAAAACTAAAGTTAAAAAGATCTTTCTAGAAAAAAAAAAACTATTTATTATTTCATGTGAAGAAGAGAAAACAGAGAATAAAATTAACATTAGTGGGTGAGATTTTGAAGTATCTAGAGGGTCTAAAGAAAACATGAACAGTTAAAAGAATGAATTTTTAATCTTGAAATTTTCAATTTCCCCTAAAACAATCAGTTTCCAGTTTAATTGGAATGTGATATTTTATGCAATGAATCACATGAAACTTAAGACATCACATCAAGAGATTAACATATTGAGATTGAAGATAACCCCACGGCAGAATTAAACAAGCATCTGGGTGATCCTATAGTCCAAACAAAGATCATTGAGTTTTTTTTTTCTCAGAAATTATTGACAGAAGAAAAAAAAAACAAGACATGGAAAGAAGATAACCAAAACCATTAAAAGCACAGTTCCAGAGAATGAATCACTACTTGTGGATTAAAGAAGAAGAAAAAAAGAACACAGAAACATGAGATTTAACAAGAAATCTGGGGATAAAAATCAAGAAAGAAAACAAAAACCAATCCATTTTTCTAAAGTCATGATAACAGAGATTTATATAGATATGTAAACACATGCATAATTGTTATGAAGCATATATGTTTGGATCTTTGGAAAAAATTCAAAGGAAAGTAAGAAGAAGAAACTGTAAATCAGTGATACAATACAAAAACATAGGAGTAGAAGAAGAAAAAAAAGAGTTGTTCAGAGATTTAAAAATCACTAAATACACACAAACCTTTAGTGTTTAGAGAATTGATTATTTCAAAAATGGTTTTCTTGGCAGAAGAAAATATTTTCTTAGAGAGAGAGAAAGAGATGAACAAGAACCACGCACTAGCACATCAAAGTGGTATCAGGTTCCCAAGTAATAAATAAACAAATTATTTGATAAAATAAGCTGAAGTTAGAAAATAAAAACGTTAAAGTAGAAAAAATGAAAATAAATGTTGTTTGTTTCCTCGTCTCTTTTCTTTTGGTCTGTCTGTAAGTGAGCTGTGTGAATTCCTAAGCCGTTTTGAATTTATAATCATTCTTAAGCATTGGTCCAAACTATTCATTTTATATTTTTTTAATTGTCCACTTCTGAACCAGAACTGAACGAAACACTACAGCCAGCTATTTATTTTTATTGTGTTTTATTAAGTGGTTTTTCTTATCATTTTTATATAGAAAACGTAAATGTTTCTTCAGCTTTTTACTTATAATTAAGAACACTTTGTCTTTCAAAAATTACCAAATTTCCGCTGTCCTATTAAATATGGGCGATACCAATGTTTTTTTTTAAGACGATGGTTCGATCATTAGAAAGCAAATGCGATTTTTTTTCATCAACTGAAAGCAAATGAGATTATAAATAAAATATATGGGTTGACTAAGATCAGTTTTGGGACCAAGTCTTTGAGGAGTTTATAAGATTAAAGGAAATTCTTTAATTGACGAGACAATTTATGAACAAATGATGACTAATGAACATACATCATTAGGTGATGGCTCCACATGACATTAAGACTATTTTTTTCTTGATATCACCAGGAAATGATATGAGAACTAGTTAAGACTCCCAGAGGGTATATAGTCCAAAGCATATAACGGGTTTTAAGATTTATGGAGCTTGGAATCATTATAGATTCTAGATAAACCTTTTAAATATACTTTAGAAGCCAAATAATTTCTACATAATTATTCACATAAATTTTAGGAACCACAACGAATGTCTTCTTTTTTTTTGACAAAGGGCATAACCACAACGAATGTTTCATCTCGCTATTCCTAGAACCGGTGCTAATAACATACAGAACCAACGGATGGTCATCATATTTTCAAGATACTGTATGTCATGAAGATCTGGTGAGGCTCAAGTCAAAACAAGATCATGTGACTGGTCCAAGAATTATGAACCAAAGATATGAAAAAGTTGATTCTGATTCGAGGTGGCTAGAGGAGAATCAACGACTCCATATGTTAATTCGGTACGTGCTTTCTAAATCTGAAAATACATAAAGAACATGGTGTCCGAGCTCGTGTGTTTGAATAAAAAAGCAGTTAATCTTTTATTTTTTTCATAGTAGATATAATAGAACTGATTCCTTTTTCGTGTGGAAATTAATAGAATATCTATAGAGATTACATGATCCGGGCTCTTGTGACTCGGACTGCCTGAATAGCTGGATCTTTGAGTACGCTACGTGAATCATGACGACAATTGTCACATTTTTTTTTTTTTTGAATCGAATGTTAAATTCTATTCAAAGAAAAAATATCCTTGTTTACATTAAAAAATGCATCAAAAGAAAGAAATAAATTTCAACTCTCAAATTTTTCTAATCTTTCTTAAGCAGCTGGTCTTGTGGAAAACCAGAAACGAAGACCTCCTTCCAACCCTTTCACTTCATCTTGTTGAACAATAAAGAGTTTGTTCCTTATGCTTCGATCAATATGTCTGATAATCATATCTGAACTCAGAGGCTCCTCCCCATGTCTCCTATTATTTCTCTCTCTCCAAAGACCATGAATAGTGGCCTGGAACACATACTGCAAAACAAACTGCTTCACTCCTCCTTGACCTGTGTTAGAGATCAGTGAAACAATTTCCGACCAGATATCGGTATAATTCTCTTCCATAACTCCTCTCATGAGGTTCCCCCAGATTATTGCTGAGAACCTACATTCGAAAAATATATGGCTCCTAGATTCCAGCGATGAGTCACAGAAAGAGCACATTCCCTCCCCATCGAATCATTCTATCTCCCGTAGCTAGTCTGTTGTGAAGCTAACCACGTAAGAAAAGCAAATTTAGGCGTATTGTTGGAAAACCAAATACCTCTGCTCCAATCAGAAACAGCACCTCTACTTCTCAACTGCTTCCAAGTTGTTTTAGAGCAAAACTTCTTCTTAAAAGAATCACTACTTGCCTTCCACAAACCAATATCATTCTCTTGCGAATTCTTCTCTTTACACTTTACTATCTCATCTTCAATCAAATTCAAGACAGGAAGCCTATGTCTTCTCCTGCGATGTATCAACATAGCTTCCTCCACAGTAGCATTAATAGTAATCCCCATATCAATATACCCACGAGATCCTATAATATCTTGTAAGCATCCCATAGTTGACCAGTTGTCATGCCAAAAGGAAGTAGTTTTCCCATTACAGACCTCCACCTTATAAAAGTTCTTCGCCATAGCTCTGTACTTCAAGATCTTACTCCACATCCAAGATCCAGCTTGGGATTTCTCTCGTACTAACCATAATGAGCCTTTTCTGATCAGATAGGTTTGAATCCATTTAACCCATAAGGAATTTTTTGCAGTGAGAATCCTCCAAATAAGCTTTAGACAACAAACATTATTCGTTTCTTTTAGAGGCCTTATACCCAGACCACCTTCAAGCTTCGGTTTACAAACATCAATCCAAGCAATCTTAGCTTTTTTCGCATTCAAGGTCGGACCAGACCACAAAAACGCTGAGCAGAGCTTTTCAATTTCTCTGAGACAAGAAGCAGGAAGTCTAAATGCAGAAAGCCAAAAATTTGCCAAGCTCGATATCACAGATTGAATAAGTTGCAATCTGCCACCAAAAGATAAGAACCTTCCAGTCCAAGAGCTAATTCTTGATCTTATCTTCTCAATGAGTGGCATAAAATCAGTAACAGTCATTCTTTTTGTAAGGAGAGGTAAGCCAAGGTACCTTACTGGAAGCTGCCCCGCCTCAAAAGGAAATTCTGAAGTATCTTCATGATTACTCATTGTGGTTCCAGCCATATAGAGAGTCGATTTCTCCAAATTAATTTGCAAACCAGAAGCTCTCTCAAACACCTTAAACACCTCAAGAATCCCTTCTAATGATCGTTTCTTCCCATCCGCAAAAACCATAAGATCGTCCGCAAAACATAGATGAGTCAAACCTATGTTTTGACATCTTGGATGGTAACCAAATCTTCTCTCAGTGGCTGCTTCGTCTAAAAGCTTAGAGAGAACATTCATACTGATCACGAACAAATAAGGAGACAAAGAACAGCCTTGACGTAGACCCCTTTTACTCTGGAAGTAACCAGCTAACTCCCCATTTACTTGAACTGAGAAGGAGGCAGTACTAATACAGAGATTGATCCAGTGAACATACTTCTCCGGAAACCCAAGAGCCTTAAGAGTATTCAATAAGAATGACCATTGAACAGAATCAAAGGCTTTTGAGATATCTATCTTCATTGCACATCTAGCAGAGACTAAATCCTTGTGATAGTCCTTAACCAATTCAGTTGCCAACAAGAGATTCTCCATAAGTAACCTATCACTTATAAACGCAGACTGATTGGTGGCAATGAATTTAGGAAGAACTACCTTTAGTCTATTCGCCAGAATCTTGGAAATCACCTTATATAGCACATTACAGCATGAAATAGGCCTGTAATCTTTCATTTCTTCAGCACTTTCCTTCTTCGGTATTAAAGCCAATATAGTAGAATTCAGTCCCTTCGGTAAGAATCCTTTCAGGAAGAACGACTGCACTGCCACTGTCACATCTTTCCCTACAATATCCCAAGCATCCCTGAAGAATTCACTAGTATACCCATCAGGCCCAGGAGATTTATCAGACGGCATTTTAAATATAACCTTTCTCACTTCTTCCTCTGTTACATCCCTTTCCAAATGTATCTTATCTGTATCGCTACAGCTGAATTTAAGCAGACTCTTCAACCTATCCACTTCAATCCCTCCATAATCAGGTGGAAGATAAGATAAAAATTCAGAAAAATACCTCTCAGCTTCCTTCTTAATCTCATCTCCTGTAATTACTCTGCCATCTTGTCCTTTAAGCTCATGAATCGCATTACGAACTTGTCTCAGCTTTATTGCATTATGAAATGCTTTAGTGTTTTGATCTCCTGCTCTAAGCCAGTGCAACTTAGATCGTTGCTTGAGAAAAGCTTCCTCCAAGTCTGCCAACAACTGCCATCTTCTCAGAGCCGTAGATTCATTATTCATAGCTTCAACTGTTGGATTCTCCATTGTCTCCTTTTGCTTCAGACACAAAATATCAAAAGCATCTTTTGTTCTTCTTGGCAAATCCCCCAATTTAATTTTACTCAGAGCTCTAAGCGGTTGCTTTTTAAGCTTCTTCGTGAGTCTATACATTGCAGATGTAGAGTGAAACAGAGGACTTGTCTCACTCCAAAACCCTCTCATCAGCTGCTTGAACTCCACCATCTTACCCATTGGATTAGTAAATTTAAAAGGTCTTCTCTTCTTTATTTCCTCTCCTTTAATCTGGGTCCTACACCTCAGATGGTCAGAGCAACCTCCAGGCTCAAAGACACTGTATGCGTGTGTAAACTTATGCATCCACACAGCATTGACCAACACCCTGTCCAATTTCTTACATATTAGCCCAGTCTCCCTCTTATTACACCAAGTGAATAAAGGACCCTGCGAACTAATATCAGAGAGATAGCAATGCCTCGCAACTCTTTGGAAGTCTCTCATCCCACTAGACAATTGTCACATTTACATTAGCAAGTCAGATGTCATAATGTTTATTATCGCTATATAAATGTATGTGTTCATTCTATCAAAATATATAGTTTGATAACAGAAAACACACGAGTTCTTAATTTGAAAGCAAGAAGAACTTTTACATGATCTATAAGGTATAGGTTGTTATTTGTTATGCGATGCACTTAACAGCGAGAGTTATCGTTATCATCACACTATTAGAGAAATTAAGTAAAATCAACAAAACTAAAAATAGGTTTGGGAGTGTCATTTTGTGGAAACGTAAAGGGCGAGGCAAATGAGAATTTTAGTCAAACATCATTTTCCTTATAAGTCATATTCCACATCACCTATGGACTTACTAGGGGAGGTCCCATTCTTCCTTCGCTACACGCCATTTCATGAATGATAAATTGACGAGAAAATAAACAAAACAAAACAAAATGAACATATATGGTGAGTATAATATCATTTGATAAAATATCAATATGTATGTGTTGTTCTGCGGTAATGAAAAGTATGTAGATCACAAAAAAGTATGTAAGTATATTTTGATAACATGTTGAAACATATATAAAATTTGATTTAAAAGATTCGATCGATACATATTATACTTAAAAGTAATATTACTTTAAATGAGGGACGACTATTGCTTCAAAATTAAAAGTAATATTGCTTTAAACATGGTAGTAAAGAGGAAAACCAAAGGAATTAGAGAAAAATATGAAATGTCACATACGTTAAATTATGGCATGGCGATGGTGTGGTCTGTCTAACTTTATATGATGCTTTTTATTTATTGTGAACATATGTATACACAAGTTAATATATAAAAAAACTAGTCTTGAATATACTACTATTTCTATTTCTTATGTTGAATTATTCTTTACACCGCTCTTTTGGGAAACACCGAATTTTATTTTGTTAACGGGGGGCACCGATATTCCCGTACGATGTATGTGGGTCGAAAAAAATGAGTGAACCGAGATTAACGTGACAAATAAATCTGATCCTATTTTGGTTAGGTATGAAAATAATTTAATTTTGAGATGAAATTCATTGAAATGTTCCAATTCCATCAAGGTGGTTGGTCCACCACGATATGTACTCTTCCAAATTTCCATATATCATAAATTCATTCAAGTATATTGTACGGTCTCATTCATACTTGTCTATTTAATTCAGAATAACCAAAAAATCACTACAATAATTTATACACAATTAATATGAAAGATGTACTGGAAAATGTCCAAATCTTCGGCATGATGCGATTGTTAACCGAAATGTAATTATACAAAATTATAATCATTAGAAAAGAAAAAAAATCTTCTGTATACGCATGTGTTTGACCTATTGATCTCTTTTAAATTCAATCAAACCTCTTGACGAAAAAACTGAGATTATTTAAAGTTTAGAGCACCTTTGTTATACCACAATCCTATCACTCATATCTTCAAAACCAAAGAACTGAAAAGAGAGTAACAAAGAGATATTTTATTTCGCTCAGACTCAATTAAAGTTGTTTTTCTTTGTATATACTGTTCATACAGCATAAGTATATTGCCACAATTATTCACAAAAAAAATAAACAGATTACTAAGAAGTATAAATAGATTAGTATTATACAATAGTTAACTAACCTATTTTAGAACGTTCGACTTCTACTATATTACAGTTATTTCTTTAAGCCAATGGTAGTACCTAGGGGTGGGCACGGATCGGATATCCGGGTTTTTTAAGGTATTTGTGATTTGCTTCGAATGTTACGGATATCTAATTTTGGTATTTGCTTTGCTTCGAGAAAATACGGATATCCGGAAAAACGGATATCCGGAAAATAAATAGGTATTTGCGGATATTTACGAATACTTACGGATATCTCATCTATTTTGATTAATACAAATAATCTTAAGATTTTGATACAAATTTGCTTTGCAAAAATGTTTTTTTGCATGATATATAAAATAAAATTTAAAAGAACTAGTGAATTTATATATTTTGTATTTTTTTTAAGCTTAAGTTACAATTATAATAACACAAAATTTAAGAAAAAAATATAATTGTCATAAGTTTCTTTCTTTCTTTTTATGTAATACTTTTATATAAGTAATAATTTGAATAGAATTTTTCAAATTCTTATGCTAGAATAATAATTATATAAGTTTATACATTTAAGAATTTTAAATATAATCAAGATATACATATATTTATATATTTACGGATCGGATCGGATATCCGCTTTCCAGAATTTTAATATTTGTGATTTGCTTCGATTTTAACGGATATTGAATTTTAGTATTTGCTTTGATTCGAAAGTTTACGGATATCCGGAATTTTCGGATCGAATCGAAACAAATAACGAATCGAATCAAATATAACGGATAAAATGCCCAGCCCTAGTAGTACCTATAAAGTTATACCAACTTTTCCTTAACCATTTCTTCTGTCACATGTTTCACATATTTTCAAAAATAAAGAAAGAGAAACGGAGAAGCAACAAATAAATAAAAGGTTTTCGCTCGTTTCGACATAAAGAGAAATAACAATATTTTCCAATTATTATATAGTTTCACAAATCGCACAAAACGTTTTCATTTTAAAATATTAAACCGAATATTACAAATTCAACATAAACCAGCTTACCAACAGTAATCTCTTAGCAGTTTAACATTTCAGACGGAGAGTTCAGTCTTGGAGATCAAGATACCATCACTATCAGCATAAAGCCATTCCCCATCTCTAATCAAAGTCCCTCCAATATAAACCGGAACATTCTTCTCACCATGACCTTTCTTACTAGACTTCAAAGGGTTAGAACCCAAGGCCCTAACACCAACATCACAGTCATTGATCTCATCCACATCTCTAACGCACCCATTCACCAAAATCCCTGCCCACCCGTTGTTCTGAGCTAACTGTCCAAGGTTTCCTCCAACAAGCGCGCATCTCGTGCTTCCACCACCGTCTATAACTAAGACTGCGCCTTCTCCTTTTGTCTCTAGTTGGTTTCTGACTAGGACGTTGTCTTCAAAGACCTTGAGTGTCACGATTGGTCCTGAGAAGCATCTTCTTTGGCCATAGATCTTGAAGATTGGGTGGAGAGCTCGTAGGTCTCCGTTTGATATTAGTTCTGCGTTGCTGTCACACGCTTCTGCGGTTGGAAATGCAGCCATTGGAGATTGTGTTGGAATGTGTGTGTTCTGTATCTGGAATCACAAAGGGTTAGAGTAATTAATTGAAAAAGGATGAAAATATCTAAACAAAGTCATGTGACAAAGTAAAAATCAAAATAAATTGTTTATAAACAAAGTAATGTGAAACTTTTTGTAAATAATGTGAATTCTTTATATGAATTGTCTCAAGAAAGCAAATAATCACTCAAATTACAAACAACTTATTAAACGCAATCCTTATACGATTCCTAACAACTGATGACTGTTTGCTTGACTCTTAAGTCTAATTAAGGTTAAAACACACATGATTTACGGCTTGTATACGAGTATTTAGCCAGAGACTATCAACAACAACAAAATAAGATTACATTCAAGAACTAGATATCAAAAGTTAACCTCTTGACCAAGAAACAGTGAAATCTCAAAAGTCAACCCCGTTAAAAGAGGAATATTTGATTTGAACTTTGTACCATGCACTGCTGTTTCTGTTTTTTGTCCAAAGAAAAATGTTCCAAGTTCACTTATACCACGGGAATATAACTAAATTTAACTACAAAACAACCAAATCCAAACAATACTTCCCAGAAAAGCAGCAGAGAGCAAAACATCAAACACTTCAAGTTCTTCACAGAAAATAAACCAAATCTCAACATAGTTTCAACAAAAACTATGCAAGCCAAGGAATAAGAAGAAAGAAAAATTACCAAGGAGAGAGTGAGTGGAGAGGACAGGGTCCAAAAGCTTACGGATCAGTGATTCTTTAACGGCGATGTATATACAAGCAAAACCAACGGGTAAGATCAGCTTTCTCGTGTCAGGCTATCCAACGCACTTGAAAATCCTCATAGAAACTTGTGCCATTATAGCCACTTGGTTTCCTATCGTCAACTTGTCGGTGCGGGTCTTTTAAGTCGGGTCGGGTCAATACCTTTTTCAAGTAGTTGACTTTTGGCTCGCTCATCCGACAGTCATAACAAGTCCGTTGGGTCAACACAATATATTTTATAATTTATGAAATGGGCCTAATGGGCTTATGTTAATTTAAAACCCATGTTCGGTATTTCCATTAGTGTGGGTCCATATTACATTATGTGGCCTACTACAGAGGCAAGAACTGGCAAGAAATCAGAGCTGTCGATCCTCTGTGTTTGAAAAGTTCGTTTTGCGGGCCCCTACTGGAGAGAACAAAATACTCCACACCACGGTCGTGCTTTGGCTGTTACATGAGTGTTGTGTCACAGCTCTGTAACGTGGTTATTTGCGGCTCTTAAAGGGAAGAATAAAAGGAAAAGGAAAATAAAAAATAAAATCAAATCCATTAAAGGCTTGGTCAATGTCTCTTTTTGACCGGGTTTTTTGGAAAAACTGCCTACCCAATTTCCAATTAAATATTCATTTAAAGTATAATTAAATCCATTAAATGATTCTGTTTTATTAATGACTGCATAAACTAAAATACAATCTCTCTATATATTTTTTGAGACCGTGTTGACAAAAAAAAACAAAAAACTTAAGACCGTAATTTGCGTAACCCTTAGCGTACGTTACGCATCCACAGTAATGCTACTTTAAATGTGTATTTAGGGTTTACTATTTGTAAAGAATCTTTGTCGGGAGTTGATTTGTTCGTTTTATAATTTATCAGTTTTCATGATCCATTTATCATCAGGTAGTATATCACATTTCATAAATATTTGAGTCATTTTCTTCTATGCAAGCAACCTCTAAATTTTACAATGTATCTTAAAAGTATCTCCATGATATATGTTCTAATTTAAGAGTATATATGTTTCATCAAATCACATGCATGCATGTAAAATACCAATTTGAAAATAAAGGATCACATGCCTGATGCATGTATGAGAACATGTCAATTTCAAAATGAAACAGTTACACGTTTATTGATATAAGTCGAAAGATCTGGTTGCCATATAGATCTATATTTACGTCTTAATATAGTTTTATATATACTACTTATACTAGTTTGAACTTCGACGACACGATGATTTGGGTACTCGAAAACATAATAATCGAAATCTCAATATAAGACTAAGAACATAAATGATTTAAATTGTTAAAACCGATTGACACAAACACATTTTGGCTATTGGGTTTCCATAGAACAAGTGCCAAGTTTTCGAGTATTAATCCACACCTCGTTTTGTTCTTCCCATGCTTTAATATTTTGGCAAAGCAAAGTTCAAAAAACTTTTTTTTGGCAAAGTATGTCCCTTTTTATTCAATGTTTTAGTTACTTGCATTACATACTACTGCTAGACTATAAATAGCTTGCAGATAAGATTTGTTGTTCCAGAATTTTATAACAATGTGACACTTATAGTTAAACCAACAACCTCCTCTATGTTTTAACTTTTATTTGTTTTCCTCCACAAAGGATGATTCGGTTTTTCTCTTCGATCAGTTTCTGAAATTTCATATGTATCGAACCAACATAATAATGATAATCATCTCTTTTTCTTCATTCGACATGTGGAAGAATAAAAACTGTTGGCAATAACTTCCCGATTTAAATAATTTTATTCCAATTAATAGCCAAACCCCAAAGAAAATGAAACTGGAATAGTAAGTAATAAATGTTAGAGATCACCTGCGCCACACCTCACGGGACATCGAACCGATCAGCCGACGATCTTATTCCTCTCCACGTGGCGTGTTTGTATAGGAGATTTCAGTAGACAGAAAACGTTTTGTGTATACACTACAAATCACAAACTGCAAAAAACTTTCATTCTTCCTCTCTTCCTTCTCTTCAGTAATAACCAGAAAACAAATATCAAATGGTTTCATAGTTCTCTCTCAATCTCCTTTGTGTCAATCCTCTTTATATATTTATTTTCGTTACGATGGTGAGAAAGTCACAGTGATTAATCTAAATCATACTGTTGAAACCTTTTGCTCGTTTGTCGATATTCATCATCATCATCATTTTGTTTTTGTGTAAACGAGAAAAAAAACATTATCTTTCTCGTTTAGGAAAGTGAAAATCGTTTTTTTTTGTAAGACGAAGGATCAGACAGGAAGAGTAACATATCTCTCGTGATCCACTCCTAAATTCGGATCCGGATCGGGTGGGTTTTTTTTTTTTGGTGACTAGTCAGTTTCCAGTTGGATGTTAGCAGCGGAACTAAAGATTTCCGTTTGCGGTTGCGGTTGGGACGGTGGTTTGTCGTCTTCAACCAATCAGGTGAATGGTCTCAATCGTTTTTTTTTTTGGCGTTTAAATAGTTTCTTAAATACTGGAATTTTGAATTTTGATATGAAAAAAAAAACCATGATTTGCTTAATCACCTCCTAAGTGTTTGCTTACTGTCTGGTTTAAACTGTTAGTTTCACGTTGTCTTAATCTCATTATTTGTTGATTCAGTTTCCAAAAAATTTCTGAGATTCCAAAAAATATTCTCTTTAGTTCTTTTTTTGTTGTAACTGTTAAGAAATGAAGATGGTGGTTGGGACATATCCGGAAATGGACCAGACCACATCAGTACCATACCAGGCGGCCAAGTATCAGTCACTATCCTCCCTTGTGTTTATCCATATGTTGTAGTTATCCTAATCATTATAGGATTAGGATAATCATCCCCTTTATTGTTGTAATCCTTATCTCCTAAGGAATATGCTTATTC